CATTTCAGTGGATTATTTTCTAGTTACTAGTTTGTATCTTGGCACACATTTGTTAGGTGGGAGAAACCTGGGCACAGTCCATCATTTGGGTATGACTTCTGGTACCAACCACAGCATGACACTATGATTAGCTCATCATGGGGTGCTCCAGCTGCTTTCACCAAAGGTTTTAACTTACAACATGTCTCTGATGGCCTTTATGGGAGACATTTATATGTATACAGCTGGCCTGGGGGTGAACTGAGACAAACACTAGAACTTGGAGAGTCAGGGCTTCTACCTTTAGAGGTATGTTGTTTAGTATATATATCTAGAGACTACAGTTATTTCCACAAGATATAATGCATTTCTTTATGTTTTATCTTTTTTATGTATTTGAAGCCATTATGTTAATATACTTGTCATTTAATCATAAATATGTTTGTCCTTTATTCCCCTTTTCTCTCTAGCTTGTACTCTTGAAGTATTATGTGACAGGTGATATAATTTATAACTAATTTGTCCTAATTGCAGGTAAGGTTTCTGCATGATCCTTCTAAAGATACAGGTTTTGTTGGGTGTGCATTGTCAAGCAACATGGTACGATTTTTCAAGACTGAGGATGGGTCATGGAGCCATGAGGTACATAAAAATGATATAGTCAAAATCAATGCCTAAATTTTAGGAGAATTACAGTATCTTATTAATTGAAAGGTTTACAGTCAGCTATTCTATGTTATTTTATTTCTGTAATTTTGTTATTCCTAGTTAGTTCTGGGAGTAACTTATTTGTTGTTTCATTTTTCATTTTCTTCTTTCTAGGTAAGTGTTTGAGCTGCTTCAACTGAGGCATACTGATCAATAATACTAAAAGGCTAAACTGACTTTGCAGGTTGCAATATCAGTGAAACCATTGAAAGTGCAAAACTGGATTCTTCCAGAAATGCCTGGGCTTGTAACTGATTTTCTGATATCTCTTGATGATCGGTTTCTGTACTTTGTGAATTGGCTCCATGGTGATATAAGACAATATAACATTGAGGACCCTAAAAATCCTGTACTGACTGGCCAAGTATGGGTTGGGGGACTACTTCAGAACGGAAGCCCTATAGTAGCTATAACAGAAGATGGTAATACTTGGCAATCTGATGTTCCAGACATCCAGGTTAGTGCAGTTTAACTTTTTAAATTATTAATTCTAGAGTCATGCTTCTTGCATCTCACATGTTTGAAGTTGATCGGTTATTAGATGTTTTAGACAAAGACTTGTGCTTACATTGGTGACTTGAAATTTGTTTTTTAATGTGGCATACAAATGCACTTAAAAGTAGAGATAGTAAGTACAGATTCTCAATTCCTCATTTATGTTACTCAAAGAAAAATAAAATAGAGTAAAATAGGTGAAAATGAAGAGATTGATCTACAAGATGACAACACAAGTAAAATGATGAGTTGGCAGGCAACACAGTTAATTTGGCAGTTGAGTGATAACACCACAGCCTGCACTTTAGTTTCTATATATTATAAATAGATTCTCTAAACAATTTTTATGAGAATTTTTTTT